GGTCTCAGTATCATTAACTCTTTTCTGATGTTTTTGATTCTCCTCTTTAGATTTGGATTTGGACTTTTGTAAGTTTTCTAGTATTTTGAAGTTCATCATTATGTTGTTTATTTGAGCTAACCCAGTTGTTCTAAAGTGAACAATGCTTGCAAAAAACTTCCCTCTTAGAACTGTTTATTTTGAATCCCATAAATTCTATTGTGTTATACTGGCATGACATTTGATTCCAGGAATTGTTTAATGACTACTTTCTAAGTTTTTTTTCTGTGATCCACTTGCTCAGGAGTGTATTATTCTGTTTCCAGGTCTTTGTAAATTTTTTGTGATATCTTTTGTGATTGATTCTAGTTTCCATGCACAATGATCTAAAGCATTCATGGGGTGATTTTTATTCTTTTGTATTTATTTAAGCAGGCTTTGTACACTAGTACATGGTTTATTTTGGAGAAAGTTCAATTTGCTGCTGAGAATGATGTGTATTCTGTTGTAGTAGGATGGAACACACTGTACATATTTATAAAGCTTGTTATTTGTTTTAAGTTGTGGTTCAGCTTTGATATATCTTTGTTAATTTTTTTTTAATTGATCTGTCTGTTGGTGGAAGCTGGGTGTTGAGGTCACCCAGTCAGATTATGTGTTTGTTTTTTGCCTATTTGTTTTTGTTCTTTTATGTCCAGCAGTGTTTGTTTTATGAAATGAAGTGTTCCAATATTCAGTGGATGTATACTTACAATTGTTATCTGTTCCAGTTGAATTATTCCCTTAACTAACATATTGTGACCTTCTTTGCCACCTCTGACTAGTTTTAGCTTGAAATTTATTTTGTGTGAGTACAAGATTGCACGGTCCTATTACATGAAAATATTACATTCCAACCTTTGAGTTTTGGTATATAGATTTCTTTCTATATTAGATTAGTTTATTGAATGCAACAGATTGTAGGGTACTTTTTTTTTAAATTTGGTCTACAAATCTGTGTCTTTTAATTGCAGGGTTGAGCCTTTTAATTTAAGGGTTATTACTGAAAAGTAATAATTTATTCCTGTCATTGTGTTCTTTTTCTGTTGGTGATTTTTTATTTTTGTTTTTGGCTTAATTACTGACCTTGTTGATGGATTCATTTTATTTGATTTTTTTCGCTTTGTGGTTTTCTTTACCTCTGTCTAGAATATTCTTAAGTATTTTTTGGAGTGCTTATTTTGTGCTCATGCATCCCTTAAGATGTTCTTTGTCATGAAAAGTCCTGTTTTTCCATCAATCTTAAAAGATAGTTTTACAGTATCATTCTGGGTTAGTGGTTGCTTTTAGGACTTGAAAAGCTTCACTCTAAACTCCCCAGGCCTTTAAAGTTTCTGTTATGAAGTCTGATGTAACTCTGATCACTTTACTTTTGTATGTAACTTCTCACTAGTACTTTTTAAGATTCTGTCTTTTTGTTGGACATCTGGGATTTTGACTATGATGTGTCAAAGGGAGCTTTTTTTATTACAGTCAATGATGTTTTGTAATCCCTGCCTACCTGTATGTTGAAATATTTTCTTATGCTTATAAATCCTTCTATTATGATTTTTGTAAATTGATTTTTGCATTTCTTCTGTGCTTTCATCTAGTTTTTCTTCAGATCTAATTATCCTTTGTTTTCTTATCATAATCTAGTAGATTTTTAATGAGTTTTTCTTAAGGCTATTTTAAGTAATTTGTCATAATTTTCCATTTTTTTCCTCTATTTTAGAAATCCTATCTTCACATAGGTCATTTTGGCAATTTGTGAATTCTTTAAAATTGTGTCCATAATATTGGTAAGGCACATTTCTCTAGAATATACATTTTTAATGAATTTGTCTTTCATGTTTTCAAATGTTTTAGTCAGCTCTTTTAATTTTCCCCCATATCTACATTCATCAGTTGGTATGTTACTTCCATCATCTTTTGGATCATATCCTCATTTCCTGTAGCTCAACACCAGTGTGCAACTTTGGCAAGTAGTTTAGGCTTTAGTTAGGCAACTGTCTCCACTGCAGGTAGAGACTGCATGGCTAATCAAAACCAGACAGGGATGCCAGTGAAGAGGGAATGGTTTGGAGTATCTGGGTTATTGATCTAACTACTGAGCAAGCGTTTTTATTCTTATCTTTAAGTTTGTTTTGGCAATTGTGCTAATTTGTTGCATTTGGGGTATTCCGATTGGTTTTCATTGTCATTTCTATTCTCTTTTTTCTTCTTTCTTTTTCTTTCTATTTGGTTTTTAAATTTTTCTTACACTTTGTTCTTTTGTTTCTTCTTCATCTGTACTGCATGATTATGATACTCTTTTAGTTTCAAGGGGTTCCTATTTAATCTGCTTCCTTTTTTATGTCTTTCTTACTGTTCTTCAATTCTCTTCCCACTTTACCTTTCATCTTTCTATAACCCTCACTGTCTTACATTCTTGCAGCCCCTCCTCCATCTATCTAATGACATAAGCATGACAGGAGATTGCAGAAGTGCATTAGAGAATAATTATTAATCAGTGCTGTCAATTAAACGGTATCATTTAAGGGCATGTCAAGATAACCCTCAACAAAGTTGTGTACAGAGAAACTAAACAAAATCCCTTCCAACTTATTAACAGGCGCCAGCAATCTCACTGTCTCCTTCAAATGCTAAATACATTGTCACCTACTTGCATACATCCTCTTGACTATACAAATACGCTTCCAAGCCCCATTCACACCAGGTTTTCATCCCAGATAAAATAATTCTAACAGTGTCCAACACCCTGTCTCTTTTCTTTTTACCTGTGGATGTATCGCTTATCTTCTCTTTCCACTGACACTTTCCCTTCTTTGTACCCTTCTCTTCACGTCCACACACCTCACACTCTCCAGTCTGTATGGGGCATAAGCAAAAGTGTGAATTATCAAAACAAGTTTTAATCTTTATGATTGACATCTGCTTGATTCTTTTGACACTTGTTTTAGCTAGTAGAAATTCTCTCTTTACAACGTAGTGACAGAGTCTAATCTAATTAAATTGGAAAGCACTTGGGAATGAACAAAATTCCTAGACAAAGTCACCATCATCACTGGAAAACTGGTTCAACTAAGGAGATTTGCATATGATCAACAATTTCTCCTCACTCTACTGAACCTCAATCCTTACCACAAAAGAAAATATATATATATATATATATATATTTATATATATAAATACACACAGAAACATGTAAAAACAAGGGAAACAAAAGGCCTGAAAGACTCCCAACTCTCTCTTGTTTTCTGCTATCATTTAAGTATTTTAGAATGATATTCTTTCGGACAACTCTAATTGAATATTTTGCTTTATTGAAAATAGGTTACCATGTTTTTCTGAAAATGCATTTTTTCTCCTGCTAGTCAAAATTCTAGTTTACATTATATGACAGGTCAATGACAATTTTCCCAGAAGTACACTTTCTGGATTTATTTGGCATATTATTAGTTTTTACTTAAGCAAGTTCAGTTCATTCCTGATTCTGACAACTAGCAGCTCATCAGACTAATTTGATTGGACTCTTCACCAATTGTTTTAGTTTTGAGTATTCAATATCTTCAGTGAACTTGAAACTTTTTGAAACAGAGGTAAATATTTTGGATTTCATTCTCTGTTGTTTCCAGCACAAGGTTAGATAAACAATTGCACTTATTTAAATCAGTTCACTCACTATTTTCTGCTGCCCTTTGAAAGAATGATTTTTCCATTTTCCATTCCCAGTCTTTCAGGTCCAGGAGAAAACAAACATTGTAAATTCCCATAAGATTCTGGAGCTATCTTCCCTTTGTGGACTCACTGATATCTTCTTTTTTATTTAATAAATCCCATTGCAAGATTATTTTTTGGTCAATTCCCAAGTCCCTGCAACAACCATTTTGTCTGCATCTGATAAAGGACTGATGATTCAGCTAGGTCATTTAAGCTTAAAATTACCTCTGCAGATCTCTGGTAGAAGCATACATAACACTGAACAATCTAAAGACCTGGTGTAGACCTTCTGGTGTAGACCTGGTAAGTTAAGGTGTTTCATAACTGATTACCATTGAAATCCTTTAAGTACTTGCCTTCTCCTCTGTCACTGTCTAATCCTTATGCCATGGAGCTGAGTTTAATGAAACAGTTTTACAAATTTTGGCAGACACTGCAGAAGAATCCAAGCAAGTTGGATCAAAGAGATTAATTTTCTCCTTGATATACATTTTTTCTTTAGGACAGAAGGGCAAAACTTTTAATTTGTAAAATTCCTAATATTGGTAGGACACTCATTTTAATGAAAAGGAAATTGTCACCTGTAAAAATTAAATAAATGTCTTTTCTTTGGCTGTACAGGTATATTTTAGTAACTGTAACCAACTTCCATAATCATTTGCAAAACTAATTTTCTCCATGTTTCTGCTGGGCTTCAACTAGGACACTTTTTTTCTGTAATGGTGTTAACAGTTCTTTTGTGGTAAAGTACAATTTTTCCACAACTGCTCTTTGATATCTCACTGTAATGTTTCTTAATAGTCTTTACATGTAAGATAATTGTTATATGGCTTTACATCAAGGTCAGCTTTGTAGACAAATTCTAAATGACCGAGCATATGTGTACACATGTGTGTGTTTAACACTTTGTCACCATAAAATAAGTGCTTACTAAATGTTATCTCTTAACCCTAGAATTATATAGAAGAATAGAAGGACAAATATCTGGGTAAATCTGTTCACAGTATTATTTTCTTTTGAATGCCATATAGTACCAGGAAGGTATTATCTTCAATATATATGATTTAAGGGCCATGTTACTACATCTCTATTATTCTGTAGACTCCTTTCAAGCCAGTGTAAGAAATGAGAAGGATAAAAAGAAGAATAAGGATAAGTTTTCAAGAGGAAAACAAGTACACTAGAGTAGATTCTTAGCAATAGAGCTTGTGCTTCAATTAAACCACACTTTATCTTAATTTTTCTTTCTTAATTCAGGCTCCTACCTATGAGTGGTCACAATGAATATGGACAATAAGTCAACTGTGTCTGAATTTGTTTTGCTGGGACTCTGTAAATCCTGGGGACTGCAGATGTTTTTCCTTATGCTGTTTTCATTGTTTTATGTGGCAGCAATGGTGGGTAATAGCCTCATAGTTATCACAGTGATAGCTGATTTGCACCTGCAGTGTCCTATGTACTTTCTGCTTTCCAACCTCTCCATCATTGATATGTCTCTGGCTTCCTTTACTACTCCCAAAATGATTGCAGACCACCTAATTAGTCACAAAACCATCTCTTTCCATGGCTGCATCACACAGATATTCTTTCTACATCTTTTCACTGGTACTGAGATTATTTTGCTGATGGCTATGTCCTTTGACAGATATATTGCAATTTGTAAGCCCCTTCGCTACACTTCAATCATCAGTCCTCAGGTGTGTATTGTCCTTGTGGCAGCTTCCTGGATTGTGGGAATAATGCATTCAATGAGCCAGGTTGCATTTGCTCTCACATTGCCTTTCTGTGGTCCAAATAAGATAGATAGTTTTTTCTGTGACCTTCCTGTCGTTTTCCAGCTGGCTTGTGTGGATACCTATGTTCTGGGACTCTTTATGATCTCGACAAGTGGCATAATTGCTTTATCCTGCTTTATCCTTCTTTTTAACTCATATGTTATTGTCCTGGTCACTATCAAGCATCACTCATCTGGGGGATCATCTAAGGCCTTTTCTACATGTACAGCTCATTTCATTGTTGTTTTCATGTTCTTTGGGCCATGCATCTTCATCTATATGTGGCCACAAAACAGCTTTGTGATAGAAAAGATTCTGTCTGTGTTTTATACTATCTTTACTCCTATTCTGAATCCAGTAATTTACACTTTGAGGAATCAAGAAGTAAAGACAGCCATGAGGAAACTGAAGAGTAAGTTTCTAAATTCCAACAAGGCAAGTCCTCTTCACTATTTTTAATTTCCTAGACATTAAATATCATAGTTTTTGTGACACCTGACACTGCTCATGATGCTGTGCTCAGCTCCTGTTTCTGGATTTCTTATCAAATTGTAACTGCCAAGAATTTCTAGGTGTACATTACCAGGTTTATTTAAAAATTTTTATTCATATCTTAAATATACATTAGAAATTGTGGAAAAGCAAGTTAACGGATATAATTTTGTCTAGAATCAAAGCCTATCTATAAAATATTGGGAACAAGTATTCAGTTACAGCATCCAATATTAATTATCAACTCATTGGAAAAGAGAAAGAATAAAAAGACCAAGTACAGACCAAAGGCACACTCTGCAATAATGAAACACAAAGTACCACTACCACCTGGTGATATTTACTCAAACTGGAAGTATTAAAAAACATGAAGCTGCTGTACTTCTTCTGGTTACTTTGCTTTGCAAAGTGTCTTTGTAAAATAATGACAAGCACTAAAAGTTATCATTAACTAAATGACAGTTATAAAATCTTGTTAAATGTACTATTCAGCTTGTACCCACAAAAGGAGAGCTAGATTGCAACCATGGTACTTAATAAATATCAAGTTGTTACTCTTCACTAGAATGACTGAACAAATGGGGAGAGCCAGTAATTATACATGCATTATGTATCATTATGAGAAATAAGACAAAGAAATTCCTAGCTTTTTATTTTAGGTCAAATTATAAAATAAATGTATTTTTCTTTATCGGTATGTGGTCTTCATTAATGTATTAAACAATTGAAGCAAATTCAATTTAAAAACATTGGATATTGTTTAAAACATAGTTTTGAAATCATTTAATAAAATTTTTCACAGTATGCATACAAGGATAAAACATTCATAGAAGCAAAATACCACCGCAATTTCCTTTGAAATAAGGTTACAAATGGATCTGTTTAGCTTGTATTTCTGAACATTCTCTAGACTGAAGTTATATGTCAAAATATGCCCAGTTCTAAATAACTCTTCTAAATAACTCTTTCATGAAATGTCTTCATTTGTTTAGGAAGTGTGTTTTGCAATATAAAACTGTGCTGTCTTTTGAAAGGCATCCCGTCAAGCATTGGTGCTTATGTGGAGAATTCTAAAATTCAAGAACATTTGCCAAAAATCCTCAAAGGTGTATCTGATCAGCAAACAACTCCATAAGGCAAGTCAATAATGAAACTATTCCCGGTACCGGAAACCGCCCCCCCAAACAACAACAACAACAACAAAAAATACTGAAACCAAGACTGCGGATGTCTGGAATACTTCCATGTACGAAGAGAGCTACCTACCACCCCCTGCTGGACCAGCACGAGCACTCAGCATTCAAGATGAGAACTTTTGCACATATTATATGAATTAAAAAATCTTAAATATGAACTATGGTGGGTGGTTTTATCACTATGTCTCCTTGACAAGTGGTTGGGTGTCCTTTAATCAGGGTAAACAATGTGACATGACCTTAGAGACCTGAAATTGTGCCATTTGTCAACAAAGGCAGAAATGATATTTTCCGATGCATGTTAGAAATCAGCCACCATAAACACACAAGCCAGAGACAGTTCTCAAAGGTCTGCTGTGCTATTTTCATTAACACAATTAAGAGGGTGTAGAGACAAGGAGAGAATATAAGAACATCACATTAACAAGCATTTCATCTTCCCTGTGTATCTGGGGAGCAATAACACTTGGAACTACTAAAAGAAATGAGTCTTTAAAAATTCTAAAAGTCAATTTCAAAGTCTTGTAAAATTAAGTAGAATTATTGAGCATAGGGAGAAAACCTATTAAAATCAGGCAGAAATGAAAGATAAGAAATAAATGGAACTATGTGAGGAAATCAGATATATGTAGCCACATTAAGAATTCTAAACTATTTCTAAAAATATTTGAGAATTTTAAAATATAATTTGATAATAGTGGACTTACCAATGAGCTAGTGAAATTGAAAGTTTGCACCTCTTCCTGTGCCTAGCCTTCCTTTGCCCTAGAATAACAATCACAACTTTTATTAATAATCTTTTATTAATAATTAGTAAAAATTAAAAACTTTAAACTTTTTTTCTTGAAGAAGTTCCCTAAGGTTTATGAGTATTAGTCTCTGCAGAGCCTGGGGCCACCCCGAGGGTATAAAATCCCAGACTCTGCTATCTTTTCATGAGTCTTTAGCAAAATTTCTGGGATCTGCAGTGCAGACTTGAGCGAGATACTTAAAATCTCTGCCTCAATTTCTACATCTGTGGAAGTTTCTACATTTGTAAGTGATGTCAACACCGTGCACTCGTTTTAAGAATAAAGGACGTAAGTCAGATAGACATATAGTTGTGTTCAGTGAGTGTTAGTTTATATTGTTCTGGGTGATGAACGCTAGACATCTTTTTTTGAGGAACATGATATTGTCTTGAAAAAAATGAACTTGTTTAATTCAAGAGGTAAAATTCTACTGTAGAAAATGTTAATATTCATACCTGCATGGCATGAATAAAATTAATGTGTATCTGAAATAATGTGGAAACTAAAATTGACTTCCATTGGAAAAATTGCCTTGGTTTTTGCATTAATTCTAGCTTCTGAAAACTCTGTCAAGATAGTAACATCTTTGCATAGCTTTGGTAGTTATGAATACATACATATGTGCAGATATTAATGGTGAGGCAAAGCAATTTATTCTCAACCACTTTGTCTCTTTTCATTTTAATATATAAGTCTCCTATTGCCATCTCTCCCATTTCTGTATGATTTATCTTTTGGAAAAATCAGAGGTACCTTTCCCACAGAACCTCCTACAATCTGGGGTAGCTGATTCCACACATTTTTTTTTTCCCAGCTAGATGGATTTATTTTTCTTTTTTTGCATTTTTTAATTTTAAAAGTAAAAGAAGGAAAACACTAACAGACAACCATTTACAAAATAGCAAAAAAAAAATACAAACAATACAGAGGTACAAACAAAGTGGTAGGAAATTAACAATGCTTGTTGTATTACATACTGATACGTTCAAAGTGGTTTCTCACGAAAACAGAGGCATGCAATACTGATCAATCAAGGAATCATTAACTGTTTCTTTCAGCAAAGAAATAGAAGACAGTAGTTCAACTATGTTAACTCTCCCATATATACATACATACAAAATTTCTCCTTCTTTCCATTCTCTTTTCCCACATCCCAGTTGCCCTTTACCCTTTAGCATTTTCCTTTAGTTTCACAATGTCTATCATGCCTCCTACTTTTGATCTACTCTTTCAGGTTTTACAATAGTGAGACAATGCAGTGCTTGCACGTGCAGGTCTGATTTATTTCACTTATGAGTATGGTCTCTAGTTGTGACCATTTACCTATAAAAGCCTTGAGTTTATCTTTCTTTATAGCTGAGTAATATTCCATTACATAAAAGTACCATAATTCTTTTATCCAATCCTCCAAAAATGGGCAGCTGAAATGAATACACACTTCTCAGATAAAGAAATACAAATGGCAAATAAATACATGAGAAAATGTTCAACATCATTAGTCATTTGAGAAATGCAAATTAAAACAACAATGAGATTCCATCTCACTCCAGTAAGAATGGCTAGCATTAAGAAATCAACCAATAACAAATGCTGGCGAGGCTGTGGAGAAATAGGAACCCTTCTCCACTGCTGATAGGAATGCAGACTGGTGAAACCACTCTGGAAATCAGTTCGGAAATTCGTCAGCAAACTAGGTCTAGAGGTCCCATTCAACCCCGCTATTCCCCTTCTGGGTATTTTTCCAGAAGATCTGAAAACATCATATCACAGTGATATATGTGCACCTATGTTCATAGCAGCGCAATTTGTAATTGTTAAATTGTGGAAGCAACCCATGCATTTGTTTTGCATCCATTCTCACCTCTCATTTCACAGCCTTCACGCGTGCCCCAAAGAATCAGCGATTCAGTGAGAGCCTTTCTCAAATCAAAGTGGAAGATCACAGAAAGAGGGAGAGAGACAGAGAAAGACAGGGACACAAAGAGAGAGCAAGGACTACTGAGCCAGCAGGAAACCGCTGAATGAAGAGGCAGCAACCTGGGGTAGGGATGGGGGAATTTGGGCCAGAGTGGGGCCGAGGGGAGGGGAGGGCGGGGCCGAGGAAAGGGAGGGCGGGGGCAGGGACGCAGGCGAGGTAGAGGAAATGGAGGCAGGCAGGTCCCCCTCCTAGTCCCGGTGGCTGCTGTCAGGGGGCTGGAGGGAGGAGCCTGGAGTTCTCTGAACCCAGCCCTCTGGCCACCAGAGGTGCTGCGGAGGGGCGTTGCGAGTTACTGCTGCTCCTCCCCTGGGCCCGCGCAAGGAAACTGTCCTCGGGAATGTGGACCGCAGGGGCTGTGCAGATCTTCAGGGTTTGAAAGGACTAAGCAGACCCAGGTGACTGGTGTGGAGGAAGCAACACGGAAACCTCAGGAAGGTCGTGCTCCTGATGGTCCTGAACTGCTGACCAAAAAATCTTTAGCAGAAAGAAATTCTTACCAGCTTTCTATTCAGACTGATCCTCTCGTCTATAGATATTACGGGCCACAAGAAGCTGTGAAGGTGTGATTGCCCAGATATCCAATTGTGCTAATGCAATGGTACGAATTACCAGATCACAGACTTCTGAATCCGAAACATCAGTTTCATGGTGAAATGCATAAGAATCAGTACAATTATTGATTAAAGGACCCTACAAATCCTTTCCTTTTCTAGAATACTGGCATGGAGAAGTGTCAGGGCTGAATTCTAAGCAGAATCACGATGACTTGTCTTCAGAGACCGAGATTCTGATGGCGTTCTTGGCCTGGCTTTGGTTGGAACTTCTTCAGAAAGCTCTAGAGGAATCTGTGAAAAAAGTAAGCTCTATTCAGATGGTAAGAAGCCTTCAAACAATGCAATCATTACTGTCAGGAACTGCGGGTGTCACATCCCCACAAAGTCTCTCACATAACTTTTGCTCATAAAATTGGACGTGACTTTGGATCTCCACATGCCTCTGGAG